TGGCGGAAAACGGGAACAAGATTCATAAAGATACTACAATATCGATAGTAAACACTAATATGGAGACGATATAGGCGTGAACATGAATGATGCCGTGTGTGCCCGGGCACTTCCCCGAAATTTTGTAACTTCTTAAGCATTAAGTATTATTATATTCCTACAATTTAAGTCTATGAGTAAAGGACCTGTATTTTAACTGTTGTTTCCCAAATTAAATATAATTTATTCTAAAGTATTTGGTAAAACATAAATGATGTTTCGAAATAGAAAAAATAAAATACAATTTTCTAAATTTTCGAGCAAAAATTTATTATGATAATATAACAGCTGCATTTGACTACTAAATTATAACTCATAAATAATTGAAGCTATTCGAAAATAATATTGGATATTCAAGGAAAACATATTCATTGAGAATAATATACCACAACAATAAATAAAAAATGAAAGCTACCTTTGTTTATTATTTATATGCTATAATTTATTAAATATACTTACACGTTTTGTTAAGATAGGGCCGAAAATTATTTTAGACACCGTTGAAATACAGGTCTGCGCACATCTATGAGAGACGGAATGTCGTGTTTGTTGTAAAAAAACAAATAAAAGAAGAAAAATTGAAAACGGCTGTCCTAGTACTTCTGATTATAATACGCAGTATCGATATTTTAATTTTTTTATGTGAACGTTCGCTTTCGGAAAAAAAAATAGTATCCACGCTTTACATAGATACGTCTTGCACACAACACAACCGAGTAAGTTAATAATTTCCTTGATAACGATTTGGTCGACGACGATGAATGAGTGTGACATCCGGTGTTTCGGACAACGTTTTAGCGATAAGACATAGTATCCATGTTAAAATTAGAATAATTATAATCATCGGTGTGACGAAAGTTAGTGTGACAATTTTTGGATCATGCTTTGTAGATCACCGTCTAGCGTCACCTGGTGATCGATATATGGTTGGCTCATTACAAAGTTAACCTTTTTACGAGTTTTAACGTTTATATGATAAAATAATACATCCATATATGAGCAGGTAATTTCAAATCCATTTCACTTTGAACATAAAAAAAACACAATGTGAACACTTTAAACGTAATAAAAAAATAAATGAAGCAATTAATTAATGAGGAAAATATTGCCATCCATAAAATACGTCAGTTTCATTAATATTGTGATTTCTAAGAACGTTTCACTCCTCGCGTGTAACTTTTTTTAAAAAAAAAAAAAATTAATTATTTAAAGGACTGAAATCCACGATTTAGAATGTATTTTATCATGGCGATTTCTAAGCTCATGGTCTATAATAGATTATCCTTAGATCATGCACATGAAATATAATTATGAAATGTATAGCAAATGGACCCCAATGTCAACACTGCACACGCGGGTTTATTGTTTAAAATCGCCCCGACAGACGCTTCCGTCCCTTGACTATTAGTGTCACATGCGTAATTAGGTTCGAAACGGTTGACTACTTGTTTTAGGTCATCGCTACTCAACCTGAGAGTCGCTCAATTGGTCAGAAATAATTAAGTAATAAAAAAAAAACCTGTTATTTATATTTTATAAATTATCATAAATTGTCAATACTTAGTGTTGATTTTAAATTATCCTGAAATTAAGGTACCCGGAAATGTTTCCTTTCGGTAACAAGTGTATAATGATAGTTTTTTACCTTACGAATATTAAAATATTTGTAACTGGTAAAATTGATAATGCAATTCAAATTAGCACATTTTATTGCAAGGGGTCCGGTAATTGTTCACCTATTTTGCGACATAAAAGAGGTTGGGAAACGATATCATTGGCTCAATAGGTCTATCATTGATTTTTTAAAATATTTGTAAATCAATGGTTCCACCTGATGTATATGTCGTATTATGATCTGAAATATAATATCCTTAACACGACGATAACGTTACGGAATATCGTCTACGGTGATTACCGCTGCAGGATAGACAGATCGAGCAGTACATCTATAATGAAAGAAAAAAAATCGTGTGTCGTGGTCATCGCAGTACGGGTAAACATATGTTTAGAATATCCTTATAATCTCATGCATCAGAATATTTTCATCGCCCCGGAATTACTTTTTCGTTTAGACCAATCAAACTTTGCCCACTTTTTCAAGAATCTTAGAAAAAATAACATTTAAGAAATGTTATCAAACACCCAGGTTTGAGAAATAAACACTCATTCATTCATAAAATTAAGAAATTTTTGATAAAATAGCCTCATCCCTAGAATAAAAACAATACTGCACAGAGATATTCCTTGACGTATCCTAAGCATTTGATCCATGTCTGGCATGAAGGTTTGTTACATAAACTTCGACTCCTATCTACTCCACTTTTTCTCCTTCTCAAATCGTATATCGTACATTTATGGTACGTTGTGATGATGAACTATTCACAGTCCATTTCATAAAAGGAGATGTGCCCCAAGGCAGCACCCTTGCTCTCCTACATTTTATAATCTTTTTTTCTGTTGATTTTTTCTATACTAGCAACACTTGCCTTGTCATATTTACTGATGATACAACGTATTTTCAACTAATTTAGATATAAGCATAGTGACAAAAAAGTTTCCAAGATCACAAACTAAAATTTCAGCATTGGTTCAACTTATGGAAAGTTAAGATAAATGGGAAATAATCAACCCGCGTCACCTTTAGTCTCCATCTCAATGACAGTCAGTTAGTGTTTTTAAACAAAAATATAATTCCAAAGAACACTTAGTCAAATATTTAGTTGTTTATCTTAGTAAAAGACATAGGTTACACACGTAAACATTAAAAGGAAATCCTTAAGCCTCAAACTACACAAATTTAGGCATCTCTTTAGATCTAAAATTTCGCTCGAAAATAAAATACTCATACACTAACAAATTATTCGGCTGGTTATGACATATACTATATGTTTAAATACTATATGTCATATAGTATTTAACTATGATGCGCTTCCAAAATATCAATCCTATGTATCTTACAATATTTTCAGTCAATTTAAGACAAATAACCAAAGTTCCGTGGTATGTCAGACCTAAACACTATCTAAACACACAGACCTAAACATTTGCATTCCAATGGCGGATCTACGGGGGTGGATATGGGGAACAGATCCCCCCCATGGGCCGAGAGTTAAAAAAATTTTTTTTGCAACCAATTCAATTTTTACATGCACAATTTAAATAAAAACTATTCTTTTATTATTTCGTTTTCATTATTTCGTAATCAAGAAGGATACACTAGTATACATTAGTATCTAACTTCATATCAGATTAGAGATATACACCTCGTATTTATATCATGACCCGGAATACAGCTATAGAGTAATGGCACAGTCATCAAGAAAATTTTGTTTTGTAAATTTATTAGAATAAAGCTTATTATACCTATACATATTATGTACGAAAATATTTTATATCCCCCCCCCCCATAATAAAATCCTAGATCCACCACTGTCGCACTCTACTTACTCTTGCCCGTATATACTACTTAAATTTTCATACACACACTCATCTCAACCCATCAATATCAAACCTTGTAACGTCACAGAGTTTTATGTGAATGTTTAAACCATGCAAAGTCCGAGGCACAGCCATATCTATTGCGACCCACCGCCACTGTCGTTTCTTTATCGCGTCGTCGGCGTGCATCGCAGGGCATTGTACATTATTGTTATATGATGATTACTAAATTTAATTGCCCCTCAGTCAAATACAACGAGCCGAGGCCAACGAACTACACCGACGACCGTCTCTCTGCACATTTGGACGACAATCGCCGACTTAACATTTTTCTGCATCCAACATCATCGTCGGCTAAATACAACGCGATGGGCCCTCGGCGGGCGCAATAAGCTGAAAACACCGAAAAGTATCCTACCTAAACACACTGTCCTCCCTTTTAATTTTATTTTGATTTTATACCAAAACTCATGTTTTTTTTTTTTTGTATTTTTTATTTTATACAGCGGTATTTTAAATCATAACATCCGGCCATTCCATATCTTTTTCTTCCTAATCTTACCGTCCCAATGCTGACCGACTTTATTATTATTATTTCACCTCGGGCGTGCCCAAGGTGCTCCATCTGAGCCTAGAGCTCTACCACCCGAGTAGTCGACGGGACCACAGACAAGCCTGATCAGTATTCATCATTTCTATCCAAATTTTTCTATTTTATCCATTCCTATTATTATTATTATTATTATTATTATTATAATTATTATTATTATTATTATTATTATTATTATTATTATTATTATTATTATTACTATTATTATTATCAGAATACTAAATGAGTTGTCAAGATCAATATATCTCCACTAAATACCTACATTTTTATTTTACTAACAACATTTTTTTTAATTTATCTAATCCAAAGCCTATGGGTTCAGATGACATATCATGAGGCTCGGCTCATAGGTTATTAGCCGAGTGTTCCCCTCGGCCAATGGGTACTTAGTAGACACGTTTGGAGCCGAAAGGTTACAACCTTTTCTCTGAAATTATTCCTGATAATCCCCTTCGTCATCTTAAACGTAACTTATCTCGAGACTTTTTCAGCTAGTAAAAAATAAATAAGTAAAAATAAAATATAATTTTATTTAGAGTAGTGTTATTGAACGCCTTTTTCATGACATAAATTCTAGTTAATGTGTTGCTAAATTTCGCTCATTTTATCACTGTTTACAGATTGTAAATTTTTCTACTTTTTCTAATAAAGTAAAAAAAAAAAAAAAAAAAAACATTTTTTTTGCTCGTCTTCTTTCCGGTTGGGGATGGTTTCGCGTTATGATCCTTTACGTACATCGAATAGGCATCTATATCTACATTAAAGTAAAATGATATGTGTTGTAAACGAACCGATATAATCATAATAATAAATCATAACATTAAAAAGTATCGATTTCGAATTATGGTCATACTGTACGGAACATTCCGTTATCGTCTCGTTTCGTTATCATCAACGCACCGGATAACAACAACAAGTGGATATTATTATTATTATTTTTTCAAAATTCAAATATCTGTTACGAAACGTTTTGATTCGGTTAGTAATTTTATGTGAAACATGTGTATTCATTTTGACTGAAAGTGTTCAAATAATGAACAAACCCGGTAAACGTGGTAATGTTATGTCGAAAGGACGAAACGATGTCGACACACGTCCTGAGTACGTCGGCGTTATCCCGAAACCAGCTCTGTACTCGTCGATTGTTCAAACGGAGACGCAGCTAAGACGCATAACAATTTCCGATACGAACTCGAAGCAGATCGCCAATAAAGTATAATATTTTGTCATACGGAATTAAGATAATAATTGAGGTTGCTAATAAACTTTTATTGTTTTTGATATTCAGGCAGCAGGGGTAAAGGAGGTCAATTTTCCGTTCACTCAGCAAGTGTACGACTACAATAATATGGTGGATGTCGGACTGAACAGCGGTGTAAAGGTTGTTACCAGACCAAAACCAAAGCTCAGAGAAGTGCATTCCACAAGAAAACCAGAACCTAAGTTAAGTGATTACTACCGTCCAAGTTTCAATAATGTCCAACGCATACAAATGGATGGTGTGACAACTACTCCCGAATTAACTGTGCAGTTTGATGGATTGGCAGTATCTAGATTAATTAATCAAATTGATGATTTAGTTTTTAAATAGGTAATGAGTAATTGAGTAGTAAGTAATAAAGTTGTAATTGATTTAAATCATGTGATGTCTATGTAACCAATTAAGACTGCACTGAAATTTTATTTTATTGAATCATTAATTTTTGTTTATATTAACTTTTTTATGAATTATATTAAATAGTTTTAATCAATTATATGTTGGCCATAATAGTTTTTCTAAGTACTACTTTCTAAAATTACCAATTTCCTCAGAATAAAATTATTTATTTAATTAATAATTATTTTAGTAGATTTATTTATACTGTTTTACATTTGAACTATTTTATTTTCTTACCTTATTCATTATTTATTTGAGCTGGATCTTTATAGCTATATTATAATGTTATTCTACTTCAATTTCACTATTAGAAATCTTTAAATTACATTTTCAAATCTTAAAAATCTATTCAGAAAATAACTAGTTCATGCAGAAACCATAAAATTCCTAATTTATTGAAGACAAATTAAAATTGCTAAAAATTATGAAATATAGAAAAATCTACTAGCTTTAAAATGTAATCTCAGAACAACTACTATTATTTTACTTTAGTTATAACTTTTTATTATTGTGTTATTAGTTATTACTTCAAAAATACAATAATATATAAAACTGATTAAGTCTTGTATAGTATATAAATTTGTATGAACATTTATTTTTTAAAATAATATTCATAATTCTATATAAACTATGTTACCAGTGATTTTTTAAATTTATTTTTGATATATATTACATTTATTTTTCAATATTGTAATACATTAACTGTAGATTTATCTTAGGGAATTATTCTTTGATAAATAATACTGAAGAATATTGCTTTTAATTAAAGTGAAATAAGCAGTTAATAAATCAATTTATGCCTGTTAGTTTACATAATACATACTACTAAAATAATTGTTTAAGATTTATAATAATTTTAAATATTTTATAAATTGTAAAACCAATTTAATAATGAATTTTATTTTTGTAATTGTGGAGCTATCATATCTTGTTAACTAATAGCTAATATAAAATAAAATAAAAAATAAAACTTGTTTTTATTAGGTATAATTTTAAATTTTGTAATAATTTACAAATTTATAAATTATAATTATATATACCTTGACATAAAATTTTAAATGGAAGTACAATGATGAGGTGAAAGGTAACTTTTATAGATTTAACTTTATGTCATATACTGCTATTCTAGTATGCTCTGAAACTCATCTTTTAAAATGTAACTACATTATGTGTACGTCCCAAAAAATAAAATGAAATGTTATTTGTGTGTAGTGTAGTGTCATTTAAGTACATATACTTATGATTTAATTCTTAAGTCACAAAAATATTTAATACTTATGAAGACATCAAGGAAAAACATTAATTGCAATATTAAAAATAATTTTTTAATTTGTATGAACTTAATAATTATATACCTATCTTACAATAATTTTTTTTATCTTTTAATGTTGTTTTTTTACAGTAGGGAAATTGATAGTTAATATGTGTTCACAATTATAAATGTTGTTAATACATCTATAAAACTATGGTCTATGGTAAGCCCATCACTAAATGCAAGAAGGGCACATCTCCACATTTTATAATTTTTCAGGAGAGACAAAAAAGGTCACATGTCTAGGACATACGCCGTTTTTGCATTTAACACAAAATATGATCATTTTATAATATACCAGTAAACTGGACATGTGTCCCGTTTGCACAGAACTGTGTAATTGTTGAATCTAAATAAAAATCTGTAAAAATGTAATTTTATGAAAATTATGGACATGTGTCCTTCTTGCATTTAGTGATTCATATATTTTCAGTATTTTTATTAAAAATTGCAATATTGGTCATTTCAAATACTTTGCCTAAAAAGAAACAAATTTGATTAATTATTTTATATATTATTTATTTAAAAATAGTGTTTTACATACCTTTGCCTCAAAGAAGTCCCTTACACCTTTTATACCTACTTTGTTAAAATCTACTTTTTCTTGTTTGGCCAATGAACGCTGACAGTACTCCAAAGTTTTACGGTTCGTCATGACAAACTTAACATAAAAAAGTCATTTTTATTTGACATTGATAATCAAATATCACTTTAAAGGGTGATCACTACTTATGAATAATATTTTTATAAAGGTATTTTACAAGTAATTTAAACACACTTCTCTAAAAGTCAGTTTTCCGTCTTTATCTTTGTCAACATCATCAATCAATTGATTTAAAGAGTTTTCAGTCCATGGCATTCGACGCTTGATCATCATTCGCTTTAGCTCATTTCGACATAAATATCCGTCTTTGTTTGCATCGTACCTACAGACAGATGAAAACACAATTTCAAAAAACTGAATGAAAAAAAATGGTTGTACTGCGATGTTTTATTTACTTTGTCAATACTTTCGAGTTCACAGTGTCAAGTATTTTATATTTTTCTTTAATGTTTAGTGCCTCTTTTAAAATTATTATTTTTATTATTTTTATTTATCAAATATATAAAACAGTAGATACATTCCATTGCAATTAGGACGTTAATTAAATGTATACTTATTAACGTAACACTGAAAACATTTTAAGAAAGTTGCCCAATAATAACACTTCGGAAAATTATTTACATTTACTTAAAAAAGTAAATCGCGTTAACAATTTTGTTTGAACTTCTGAGGAAGATAATCAAGCATAAATATTGTTACCATGTTTTGGATGAAAATATATGAGAATATTTGAAAGTAATTGATTTGAGTTTAGCATGAAATCGGTTATAATGAAAAATTATTATTGATGAATTTTGTTTGTTATAAGGCGATAATAATTTCAAACTTCAAGTAAAGAATGATTAATTGTTATCTATACAGCTTAAATTGCTTAAAAAAAAAAATAAAAAAAATATTAGTATTATATAGTTCTACTTCACTTATTTAATAAAAGTTTTTATGATAAATGGGAGAAAACTTTCAAACAATGTTTTATGTATTTGACTCTTATTGAGTGAGAAAATTGTCTACAAGCACGTCTGGTAAAAACCAGACTTACGATATTGTATCAACTTCAAATTACCGTTAAAAAAATATATTTACGCGATTATAAATATTACAAACAGAGGTATGTGATACATTATGAACTCAAATCAAGCCATTACTTTGACTACGTATAAGTAGATCGAAGGAGCGTCGACCTACTGCTAATGACGTAATATTTTTTAATTATATAAACATGCATTTTTCTTTTGATCTTTCTACAGTTATAGTAAAATATATAAGTACCTAATAAAAATAACTCCCAACAGATCGATGAACTTATCCTTGATTATTATCTGCTGAATGAGGAGTATTATTTATGAGTTTAATTAACAGTCACATTAATAAACAACGTATTAAGAGTAGGCAAGCGCCTGCAAAATGTTGGGGCATATTGGATAGGTACTTATGTATAATACTAATATATAAGTGCCTATTCAATAATTATGATCGTAAAATGTGATATTAAATTTTATTGGGACCATTAAAATGGCTATATTTTTACATTTAACCGTTTTGATTATTTATTTCGTATATGTTATACTCTTTACTACTAAATAGCCGAGACTTCAGTCCTCTCAAGCCTCAAAAGCTATTGGCGCTTACGAAAAGTAAAGATACCTATAGAACGTGATTGACAAATAAGTATTTTTCAACGGTTATACACCTTGATGCCCACATACCTATTGCACGCAGTGGGTGTACACTGATGTTATTAACTACAAAGTGTGCGGTGGACCGGGCGAAAAAGTGTGACAAATGAAATCATTGAAACCCGAGTCCGTTCGTCCCTGTATACTAATGACGACGAAACGATAGCGCGTTATAGCATTATTATTATTGCGATTGTTCACGTACTGGTCGAATAGATCTTCGATTTTTTTCAACTGCGACGGGCTGAACTGCGAGAATTCCAAGTACACCTGTCTCTTGGTCGTGTTGGACGCGTACTCGTTGGCGGGCAACGCGCCGTCCTCGGCGTTGGAATCGGACGAATCTTCCATAGCCGAATGTCGCGGGCAGGAGCAAGACAGCGGCGGAAGGATGACCAGATCTGGACGATACGGTGGCGGAGAATACGTTCTGTCGGAGCGCGCGCGTGCAATATGATCGCGGGCTCCTGGGCGTACTCCGAACTTGATCGGAAACGGGTTGACGAGGGCTCTATAACGGCGGTCGAGGGGGATGTTTGGAAAATGAGTCAATGTTAACGACGTTACCGCCGCTTTGCGGTGACGTCGACTAATTAAATCACAAACACGCACACACGCGGGCGCGCGCTAACGCTTTAACTGTTTTACCACACCGACCTCGTAACGAACAATACGACGTGCGCTATGTATAAATATGTTTACGTTTCCACCGTCACCGCCGACGACGATGTTTATCCAAAGTGATACCATGCGAACTCGGCGCGATGAATGAATGACACAGGGGAAAACGGTTCGCGTTCGATGACGACGGCAACCGCGCGACGATGATTAATCGTTCGCGTATTTTCACGCCGAGCAATCGTGGATTTTCATCAGAGAAAAATGTCACCAGCACTCGTGTTCCTGTGCACCATAAGTTACGTATTCGTATAGTGGTGTACACTTTGCTTTGCGCATTTGCCGTTGGTTTTCCTCGGCAGCTCGACGAGTGCGCGCTGAACGGATTCGTCTATTTTTATTTTCATCCATCATGGGTTCTTCATACTTATACGAGGTTTACCACCCCCGGAGCTAAACACTTTTTTTCTAACCTTATCGTTTGAAATGAAAAAAATAAAAGGTCTCGTCGAACCGTATGCTATTTGATGTACGGCTACCCGTGATCCCTCAACAAATATCGATTTTTTTCTTCTTGACCGGCAATACATACAATTATCGAGTACTCCTCCTTTTTCCCCCGGAGTTTAAAGCTTGAACTTACCACTGCTTCATTATACTTATTTTTTTGAGGTACATGCGTTTATTTTGCAATCCCGTTTCTTTTAATAATAGATAGCTAATAACGAACCATAGACGAGAATTTTCTATTTTTCTCCAGTTAAACCCTTCACCGTTTTAACATTGGTAGAAACCAATGAGTACCACTGATACAACTATAGTTAAAATTTATGTTATTAACTTCTTTAATCACGGAACATGTTTTTAATTTTTTATTATTTTGTGGTGTAACTGTGAAAGGCACTTTTAAATAAACACATTGAGTTGTAGGACATGAGTACGTATACCTATTACCTACATAAAATATAAATGTCATTAATGTCAAGGAGTTATACTTAATGGACATATTTCAAAATAAATAATTTAAACATTATTTCTTATTGTTAAAAAAAAAAACTTGTACATCGATATTCAAATAAAAGTATTTTAATTTTTTAATTTTTTTATTGAATAAATATTATGAATAAAATGAATAATAAAATTAAAATTAAAATTAGCAAATGATTAATACTATTAAATTGATATATAAATAAATAAACGAATTATTTATAAATATTAAAAAATAGATGCTGGAGTATTATTATATTTGTAAAGTACGACCGGTTTCAAACTAAAAATTTATCGTCTGGTTTATACAAAGTCAATAAAATCGCGAATAAAATTTGTTTGGCAATACTTTTATTTATTTATTTATTTATTTTAATATTGCTATATTATAATATTATGTTGTTTAATTATATACGAGTTGTAATGTTAAAAAGTTACCTCTACCTATGAATATGGTATAAACTGAGTGTTGTGAATTAATTATTTTTATAACCTACTCTGATTTTAAGTCAATATATTAAGAAAATACTATTTTCTCCTTTTATTTGATCTAACTCTATCAAATGTTTGAACCTTATACAATATTGCGACGGAAATTAAATCTCAGTAAATGTATGGTTTTTTTTTAGTTTTTGTATAGTTTATTGACTGACATTAAACGAGACCATTGGCATGAGTTTGTATTATGGTACGGCAAGATTAATGTGCATACATACGCAGTCCGTTCGTATTTAATTTTCACAAATATAAATTCTCGTATAGAATATATTTATACGAATTAATTTAAACGGTTTCTACTGTTTTCTATTATTTTTATCAATATTAAATTCGTATGCATACATTTTCTCAGCTCCTTAGCTTTTGACCATCATTATTTTTACGTCATAGACAATATTGTAGTATTTCCAAGAATAAGGTATAGACATGGCGTGTTTCTTTTCATTATGATATCGCTGTGCAGGTCTAATCCACATAATGAAGTATGTCAATGCGTTACGTGATTCGTCGAACTGAGATTTTATAATAATTAACACTGATCCGTAGTTCATTCATTTATTAAATTATATGCGATGAAATTATTTTAATGTAAAAATGTACTTTTAAAAAACATTTAGTTTACATACTGCTTAAAATACAATGTCATGAATTATTATACTACGATCTATTAAATTTGAAATGCGTGAAAAGTTACTAACGCTTCTTTGCGTTTATTATAACATTTATTTCTGTGATCTAATTACTACTAACTAAAATTAACTACAGTTAACTATTGTTAAATTATTTCAATTACAACTAAATCATTCTAAATATAGTTAATTATTTCTAAATAAAACTTATACCATATTATTAGATAATAATTATTTATTTAACTTGATTTTGTTGTTAACTATTAACTAAATAGTCATTAGTATACGACGGGAACGCAAAAAAATACTATATAATTATATAATTCATCATAGATTGTCCGATTTCTTCAATTCGACCTAAATAGTGATCAATTATCAATCAATAAATTTGTAATCAATCGCCATTTTATCTAGACGTTTAAATGCTAAAAAAAAAATAATAATAATAATAATCGAAAAACTTTAAAATATTTTTATTAAAATTGAAACAACGTATTTGCGTATGATTTTTTCAACAACATAATGAACTAATTTCATTTTTTTGATCTGTTTAATGCAAAAATCAGTTTGATTTTGGTTAACACATTTATTTTAACATTATTAGAAGCCAACAATATCAGTTATACTTATATAGTCAATGTCAATGATTAGATTTTCTATCAAAGTACGCTCGTATACTTATCCAACTTTTAAGTAATACAAATTACGAAAGTACATAAAATAAAACTCTAAACGAAGTTCAACGATTTACGGTTTTCGGTTATCCTGGCCATGTCTATCCCGCGTGAAACCGTCATTTTACATATACGACACGAGGCAAAAAGACGGAAAACATTGTATAATAGGCGGCAACTAAACAAGCATCACAATTAAAACACAACAGTTATATGTATCGTATACGTTTTAAGGGGTTTTCAATAGGAACGCTTGAACATTAACAGATCGTTGCGGTCGTGGCGATAAAGCATAATCGGTCATCAAACCATTCGCAATTATTCAGTAATGTATTGCAAATCACCACTGGAAGGTTATAAGCGTTGAACAACGAATGCAAGTTATAAAATATTATTTTCAAAATCAGTGTTCCGTTCAAGAAACGTTTCGCATATTACGTGATTTTCGTTCTCGACACAGCAGCTGAATCGACTATCGCTACTTTGGTACTGTGCGGGAAACCCCGGGAAAGTTAATTCCTTGTAATAATTATTATATTACGCTCATTAAATTTTGAACGGCTGTTTTAGAAAGCTTTCAAAAATTGTCATTCTCGCATTACGGAACGACGAATATACATATTCGTCTGACGAAATGATTAACAATTCGAATTTTCGTAGTTACCGTATAATATGGATAAACATCACGACATAACGTGTAAATGATTGTTTTTTCATCATATTATTGTATGATATAATATTCTTTGCCGAAAATATGCACATTTTTTCCGTGTTCGTGTAAAATTCGAACAGAAAAATATCATTAACTCACTGATTTCATACGTAACAGCTTCGTTAAAATAAAATAATAATAATTATTGCTAATCAAGTTGACAAATTCATTAACAAGTTAATTAAAACGAAATTTTATGTAAAGTGATCATACGTGTTATGATAGGATTAGGATAAGCTTTGGTTCTATTGTTATAACTAAAATTTAAATTATACACAACGGCGTGTTCGGATCAGCAACATAAGGTGTAAGATAAAGACCAGATCGCAGTGAGTTTCAATCCACTGAACTTCGAGATATACTCCGATGGGTTAAAAGTGTAGGGATCAACAACAACCACCTCGATTGTACGAAATAAAAAAAATGTTATTTAATATAATCAACAATGTATAAAATAGGCTTATACACAAGATTTTTTTTGTTTTGTTATCACAGTCATCGTATAGTAACAATAGTATTATAATAACGTTAAAATAAAATCATAATAAAAATGGTATGTACACATTAACTATAAAATAATCGACTTAAACACTAGATTATATATAGTTAAAGCAATACGTGAGGACGATAGAAATACAATATGGTACACACAACATTTATCGATGAGTTAAAATGAAATAAAATAAAAAAAAATTCAGTCGTTTAGATCACGAGCCGTGCCAGAGCCAGTGACAGCGTTACGGTTGCGGCCGGGCTCAACCCAAAGACTGCCGCGGAAGCAGTGCCGGCGCTGTTGGTAATCAGCTCGTGCACGGTCTTGGCCGAGATCAATGTGCTGAGGCTGAGGTCGGTCAGGATCCGCGGACTGGACGACTCCACCATGGTCGACAGCTTTTCCGACTCCCTCAGGCAAGCATCGAGTTGAAGCCTGGTCGGGTTCCGAACCGTGGGCTCGACGAGCACCAGCAGATCTCGATAAATGGTCAGGTATCCGCGGACCACGCATTCGGCCACGTGCACGTGTCTGTCCAACGCTCGGAGTACCGACCTCATGCTCAGAGCGTTCACGCTGGGCTTTTTCAATGTGTGCACCACCCGGTCCACTTGTTTTTGACTAAAAAATAATGATATTACATCGTTTTAGCTTTATAATACACGGTAATTGTGTTCCATCCGAAACGAACCAGCCGCTGCACGGATGAGATGTGTGTTGTTTACAATAACATTGAATTGCGAAACCGACAAGAAAAATATGACCCTCGAATCCTTAGGCGCAACTAGGGGGGTGCAAAAGGGTTTTTAGCATTACTGTTTTTTTCAGATCTATATAATCTATAGTAATTACAGTTAAACACCATTTAATTTTATTTTCAGCAATTTCAGCACCCTCAATATTTAGGCTCTAGTTGCGCCCATGCTCAAATCACTTTCCTGGGGGTACATTGGAACTCCCATTATTAATATTAAAATCTATTTTGTAGAGCGTTTTTCGGTATTGGAAAAATAGTATGTTCAAAATCATGAAGCACGCGGGATTATATATCTATTTATGGTCAGGCTTTAAAATACTTCCGAAAATTGAGCACAGTAAAATTTTACAGATTTGTTTTTTAATTTTTTACCAAAACGTATGTGTATTAAAATTAAATAAAACTATCAAATGCTATATTTAACCACTACACGGACACCGAATTTTAATACTTATCTATTTGTTCAGGTTAAAAAAAATATTTGCGATTAACACGGTTTACACGACGTATACTTTGTACGTCTATTAGAGCAAGGTCAGGATTTTATAGCACTGAACATTTTATTAATATGCATTGTAATAATATTAAATATTTGAATATTGATTAATATGCATAAAATATGTGTCATAAAAAAAACAAAATATGTATACGTGGAGATTTTTATTTGAATTTGCAATATTAAATAGTATTCATTTTTTTTACCATGCTCGTTACCATTAAATCAACACAGTTAAGTTTAAAGATTAAAAATTTATGAAGCTGCCTATTATTTATTAATATTTGATTTCAATCAAAAATATGCGATATAAAACTTTAAATTTCGGTTCTCTGGAAACAGCAATAACATAAATTATTAATCTGTTTTTTAAGCGCATACGTCTTACGAGAAAAAATACCTCATTAAATCCTAACTTGAGATTTATAAGCAGTGGCTTAACAAGGGTATGACAAACGGTGACTACGCCAGGAGCATGTATGCAAAGGGACGAAAAATTGTTCGAAAGTCGTATTTTTATCCTATCCTCAAAACGAAATGTTTCCATTATACTTTTTGAAATGTACAGATTTTGTTTAATTGTACATATTACGTGAGAATTTAATGACGAAATTATGACAATAGCGCAAGTGAATTTATTTGTAGGAATTTTCATACAAAGAAATTATCAATGAATTCACCACTCTTAAAACGAGAAAAAAAATGTTTAAAGTTTAAAATGTACACTGTCACAGTAGCTAATAAATATGTATATGTTAAGGTGTATGATCGCATAGCAGAATGTTTACAGTCACCGGTGTACGTTGACATTTACCGATAATTTTGGTGAATGTTATCAATTATTTCAAATATCTCACAATGCGGACATTTATCAGTATTTTTTGACATGCGCAATAGTTATTAAGTGAATATTGACATGTCTGACAATGTATATAGTTTCGCCCTCCACGACCAGTTTTTATATAAGCTTCGTGCATAATATCGTGTAATTCTTCGTTCTTTACATAGTAAATAATTTCAGTTTCACCTACTTTTATTAATGGGACGATTAGTTTATGATTATCCATAATATCCACAACGTCAAACCGATTAAATCGCCTGTAATCACTTCGTTGTTTATTTTTTTTTTTAGTTTAGCATTTGTAACTTAAATTATATATTTATTATATTTTCAGTGCTTAAATAAAAACAATTATCTTTCCTTTTTTTTAATAAAAGTACATTACATTTTTCATAAAAAATATCTTTCATATTTTTATCCATTATTAATTTTAATTCAAATATAATATTATAAACTGTTATTAAAGCGTTGTGCTTGGTTTAGAATACGCGACAATACTGAGGAGGATTTATTTTATATTATCTAGCAAACAATTGATTATCGAATTTTCTCATGCGATAACATTACTGGCGTCCAAACGTCTTGAATGCATATTTTGACTGGACGATAACGTTAAATCTAATCATAAGTATTATCGATCCTACAAAATAATACAAAAATACCTTTTACATGCATCGTGCTTCAAGTGTAGACAACATTTACCAAACACTGATTATAAATGTCAAAAATCACCGATGTATGAACGCATTAAGACCATTTACTACGATTTTTTGTAAATGTGAACATACACCGGTAACTGTCAACATTCGCCTACTGCAGTCATACACCTTAACTTATATATTGTATGCATAAAAAAAATTTGTAAAGTTAAAGGTTCAATAAAATATCGTTACATCAAATTTTCAATTGGTAAAAAGGCCATTTTTTCTAGGTGTTCCGAGAGCGGTGGCAATTCTTTCTATGTCATTGCTTACAAGTCAACGCGTGGGTTAACGTAGTAATAGTTTTGTCATTCGTGCAGAGTTGTCTGGCTTCGACCGATATTATGGAACACTTGCGCGCACCCACCTGAACAGTATCCGCAGGGCTCCGGCGCACTTGGCGCAACAGGCTCCGGGAGGTGTGATGCCCACGCACTCTTCCTGGGCGAGCGCCGGGCAGCTGACCCCGGCCCCGGCGCAGTACGGACGACCGTTACGCCCAATGAAGCCGGACGTCACGCATGGTCCCGTGTAGTCGACACTCATCGATTCCGCGAACGCCGCGCACTCAGACGGATACGTGTTCCCGTCCACGCCGCACACGGGCCCGCCACTTGCGTTGCATCCCACCTGCGGAACAAGCACATACATTATAGTATTATGCGAGCGGTAGCGTTCATGTCGGAAAACCCTTTTCTCCGGCCACGTGGACTCACCAAGCAGGGACCGCTGTACGCCAACGATTTGCCGGCTCGCAGCAGGTAGCACAAGTTCGCGTGCTCTCTGTTGTCCGTGTCGCACACCGGGCTCTTGGCAGTCTCCTCGCACGAGTCCTTTTCCGAAACTATAAAATACCGACGTCACCATGTTAATAATATCGGCCGACATACCTGCACCACGGTGTATGGGGTTCTCTACGAGCACATATTCCGGTCCGGCAAAGAATAATTCACCCGTAGAAAACGGGGAAAATTGCACAGCTAATCTAGTATCAGAGTACGTAATCGACGTATAACTGATGCAGATAGAAAGCGAAGGATATTTAAACACCACACCATTACTCTAATACAAAAAATTTAGGTCTGAATCTACGGTAAACCAATTATGGCATCCGAAAAAATCATAAATCACAACACGAATTCAGACGCCAGTTTTTTACCAGCTGTACGAAACGAATTAATCAAAAAACAAAAAATGCCACCTTATTGGCTTGGATAGAAAATGGTCGTGCACTTACTACACTTGTATTGGATGCAAGACTTTTTCAACATGGACAAGCACACCTGACGAGCGGGCACACATTTCTCGTCTGATCGGCAAGTGTGGCCGCTTGCACAGGGGTCATCGTTCCAACACGTGCCAAACTTGAGGTCCAGATCCGACATTCCAGCACATCTGCAAAAGAAAAGAAGCACGGGAAGAGGGATTAAGACTCATTAGTTTGAGTGTATAGTTAACGCGGGCGGCGGCTCTTTTCACTCACTTGGCCAGACACGAGTTGGGGTAAGTGTTGCCGTTGAATCCGCAGACGGGTACGTGGTGAGCGACACAGTTACACGGAAGTCCGGTGTGCCTGTTCCGGGATCCCACACTGGCCGCGGTGGATTCACAGTGTTTTTTTGTGCAGGTGATCTCGCCGGCGTAACAGTTGCACGTGTTGCAGTCCATCTCGAACGTGGACCCATGATCTATACGTACAAGACAAATACTAAGACATTTGACATCATGACGATAATCGTGTGCATAAATTCATTAGAGGCCGTGCAACTCGCGGCCCACCCCCAACAATCCCTCTAATTAAGTACAAGTGACAACAGCGGTGATGTAATGCTACCGTTGCATTACTTACATGCAGTGCCGTCGTTAGCGAGCAGGCAACTTAGGCAATTGCCTAGGGCCTCGCACTTAAAATAAATTTGGGAGCCCACAGTTTTGTCAAGTTAGAATAGTTAAATATACTTAGATGTAAGCAATGTCGGATCTAGGAGGAGCAAGTGAGTATGCTTGTCCTAGGCGCAGTTAGTATAAGGGCGCTCTTGAATTAACGGAAAATAAAAAATGTCATGAACATACATATATCCATACATCCATCATCGTAAGGACGCTACATTTTAATTAGCCCTGATCCTCAAATTTCCTAAATCCGGTACTGGATGTAAGAAAATTATACTGATTTTGCCTAAGGCCTCGCAAAAGCTTGCGACGGCACTGCTTACATGTAGTAACTTACAACGGTAAATACCCGGGCACGTTGAATTAGTTGAATCATATAATGTCCCTAATAGGTTTAGGTGTTATTAAAATATACATTCTAGGTCTCATCAACGTAAAATATTATTGTTTTCGCGATAATGATTGACTTATTATGACATTAAATCCAGAGAAGTTATTAAATTTGAATTCGTTCGTCATTATCGATTGTATCGCCATCTGGTCGTCCCTCATTCCTCTCACCAATGGTATTCAAACATTTAGTGAAGGGAGGTTAAAGAAATAACAAATAATATAATTTATCACAAATAAGGTAATAGCAATTATGGAAACAAAACATTTTGTTTCAGTTTTATCTTTATCGATCAATTATACATTTTTTCACTTACGATAAATAATTAACTGTATTATTGAAACTATTAATTTATTTTCTAGTTATAAGTAATTAATTTTACTGCCTGATTAAGTATTGATAAAACACAAAGGAACCGTTTAAAAACCATATTTTTATCTTAGAGTCTAACGGGCTTAAGGTTTAGACCCTTAGGCGCTCGTCTGAATAAATCGGGTTAGCGAACGAGCCAGAATGAGTGATGGTAACAAGGATTACACTCACCGATCGTTTTGCCGATCAACCAACAGGACTGCAACTGCGAACAGGGCACCTGCTGACACTTGTCGATGCCCTTCTTTGTACACTGGCAGATCTTCACGCAGCCCTTTTGCCCGTTGAACGTGGGTATGCTGGCGTACGTGTTCTCCGGCACCAGGTAGTGCGACACCTCGCCCACTTTACAGCCGGCCACGCACCGGTACGGCTTGCACGCGTGCCCGATCCGGCAGCCGCGGTTCACTAAGCACACCTCGCCGGGCGCGCACGGGTTTCGCTTGCACGGCGTCGTCACCTGCGCCACGGCGGTCTGCTGTTGCGGAGGTGGTGTCGCATGCTCCGCGAACGCCTTGAGCGGCACGCAGGGACCGGAGTCGGCAGACAGACGCGCGCAAAGGGCGTTGGCCGACAGACCCGGTCCCACGTTCGTCCAATCCATGCACGTGCTCAACAACTCCAGGCAATCATCCCTGTAAGATACGTATTTAAAATATTTTTAATTGAATAATAAAAAATATCCATGCAACGGAAACGATAGACAATTAAATAATAATTAAATAAAACTTCATTGAGCCACGCGATCGTCAATTTTCACAGTAAGAAAGCGGAAACGAATCGATAGAGATTATGTAATATTCCTATAAAATATGTCGAATTTTGTTCAAAAAATGCTTGAATTATGTTTTGTGCGTCAGAAATGATAAGAGAAATAAAAAGTTCAAAAAACCACTTAATTGTTGCTGTTCATATTAAGCATTAGTCGAAACGAGGTTGTTTGGAAACGTTGTAATGTTTTTTAAAAAATGTAATTTATACACCGTATAAATATGGATTATTTTTGGATTACGATTGCATACATGCACCATAATATAGAATACTACTCATTTTAATAGTTTGAATAAATAACCTCATGCGGTAAAGGTCCACTTCTCAGTGTTGTCAATAACTATGTATTGTTTCAGTCCGTATTGTTATGAAACGTATTTTTCATATCGGTCAATATTCATCAAAAATAGTTTTTGGATTTTGACACGATCTCCACTACTCATCTTAGAGTTGTCTAGATAGTAAAGGAGACGCCCCATTTTTTTTAATATCATATTTGGATTTCATAATTCTCCATAAGCCTTAAATTTCTTGAGTGTGTACTTTTGTTTCCGGGTCAATAAAAAATTCTAAATGGTTAACTGTTAAATTAATATAACCATGATGATTTAATGTTGAGTACGCTCTCCATTGGTCACTATGAATTGTCATTTCAGTTTTTATTTCATTTTTAATAATTTGTAAAAGAGTTCTCGGTCCCGTTTTTCTACTATAAAAAGTCGCCGTTCTAATAATAAGTCTGGCCGTTTCCAACAAATTCCAAATACTCATGGGCCTACTATACGATTGCCATAATTTTTATTTGTACGTACTATTTCATCTTCGTTGTTGGAATTATTTATTTCTCTTAATGGCTGATGGTCCCCACACTGTAATCGACCACGGTTATACTTCCTTTTACCTTGAAAAAGGGATTCGTCAATTTGAACAGTACAACCAGGACCACCCATTTTCTTTCTTTTTGAAAAATAATATACTGGTATATCTCTACATAAATTATACCAATCAATGATGGTACTTTTACTTCTTCCAGTCCAATTTACAGCTTGATTTTTTGGAACTGAATCGACCCAGAACCAGAAATAACTATTTCCATTATTTCACATAACGATAGCTGACTATTACAACGACCGTGTAGGTAAAAAAGTCACTATCTTTACGAATCGATTAGTAAGTCTGGCAACTCCGTTTTGCACATCGTAATGTTACTACTTTTTTCATAGTGCCATCAGAATTTCGTTTTTTACTACTTCTTAAATATTTCACAAGTTGGCCATTACATACAACACCGTCTTTCACCTTTATACATGTCATCGGATTATCGGCCAGTAATAACCCTCGGTCTTTTAAATATTGAACACCTACCACTTCATCTCTAATAATGTTCCTATATAGGTGACCAATAGTAGATGTCATGTTGAATTAGAAAAATTCACATAAAAATTCACACGCACAAAATAAAAGTCAAATAAAAAATCACAAAACGAGTGCACGCCACATACAAATGAAATTGGAACTGTACTGACTGAGGACAGTAAAGACATTATTAATGATTGTAAATACCTATCGGAGAAAAATATCGAAATATTGAACAAATATCGAACAAAAATAAAAATAAAGTGTCCATAACGACAATAACCACGATAAAGAAATCTGTAGATCAACTCAATTTTATCGGTAGGCCGAGTAACATTCGTAGGTCGCATATTGGACCGTTACCCCCGTGCGTATAATATATATCCTATTCGGTTTTTTTTTACTAAAGCGACGTCGTGTACAAGCCGTACATCGTTTTCGTACGTCGGCGCGGTCGGACTTCAAACGACAATCGGGCCGAAGAATAAATGTAACCGACACGTTTTTTCTTTCTTTATTTACTGTCAAACGTGTGTGTACGTCGAAACGGAGTACTTATATATGTTCTGTTTCTATTTATCGTGTTCGGCTGTCAATATAACACGACGCTATTTTAAACCTTCGTTGCGAAATTCTTCACGCGATTCCGAACACACACACACACACACACACACATACACATAAACATACACACATACACATAATATAATATTAATCCATGGCGATTGGCCAGCGACGATATTTTATTACGGACAGATTATCGACGGGAAAACGCTAAAAAAAATTAAATAAAAATAAAAATCGCGTCGATCGACGACGCACGGACGACCGTTCAGCAGTAGTTGGCAACGGACTGACGCGTCTTTTCGTTAGAACTTCTCTTAATTATAATTATTATTTATCGTTGCGTGATTCCGTTTCGTTTTTTTATACATCAAGAGGCGTTTCACGGTATGAGCAAGAGAGAGAAAGAGACGACACACGTCGCGAATCACAGTAGACGTCTGCCGTGCTATTTCCGCGCACCGAATACTAATCAACGCGATCGCACCCCGCATTATTATAATAGTATTATCGTACCGATACAACACTGTAGTCACGATCCGACTACTATTAAAACGCATTGACATAAATTGAGATTTTTTTTTTGTCGCAGAACGTTCAACGTCTTCTTTAAGACGGTCATATATCTGCAAATTTCGTCATCGATCAAGTAGTATAGACTAGAGATGAGTGTGAAAAAGAAAAATATACGAATTATTCACTTAAGCGCGCGTGTCAATATGAAATAATTGAACAACATACACATTATTATCAGCTATATGTAACTGTTACGTTTAAAAAATGATGAAACATCAAATTATCTTTTATAATCAATGTTTTTCTTATTACATTAGAAAGTGAAGTAAACAATTATGAATTATATTTAAATTGGCATGCATACTGAATCGCCGTTATCCCTGCAGGCATATTCAATACAAATACACGTTTTTTGCTCTTTTGCGTACATGATTTCAGAACACCCATTGCAGTTGACACACGCAGTAGTTATACGTTTATCGAATGGACTTACCGACAAATTTTGTTGATGTGTGATTCCCTGGTGCACGGTCGTATCTGCAGAATGCAGGAGACCGCTTTCCAGCTGTCAGGCATGCACTTGGTGATGTTTTTCAGCGGCAATTCGTAATTGAACAGGTTTATGTTGCCGCGTCGACGCCACAGCATCACGTCGAAGTGGGCCGCGTCGTCCGTTTGTGGCGAACAGCTTCGGAACAGTTCCGTGGGTCGGTTGTTGAATGCCGTGCAATAGTTCAGACCGTCGCAGCTCAAGTCACACGGTTCTTCCACTGTTGACATTTGAAATCAAACGTCATATCAAAAACCGTACAAATGCTGTTTTTTATACTAATACGAATCATGAGCCAAGAACAACAACTGACGAATCGAAGATTATAGATTTCGATCAATGCTCTCCAAATTTATAAAAAAAAATTTAATTTTATGCGAAACACTATTCCAAAAAACTACCTGTTTTTAAACATTATTTTAGGATTTTTTAAAAACTTTTCGTTTTATGAGGGAATTTTTTTCAATTTTAAAGATTCTCGAGAAACGTTACTTAAAATAATATATAAAAACAAAAACAGCCACCTGGTTTTTCAGTAACAAAATATTTATCTTAGCTTACATGGGACTATCAGTCATGGTTTCATCGATTAGGAAAAATAAAATGTAATTTATCGTACATTTGAGAGTGTTTTTTCCGGAATAGTTTTGAGATCATTACAAAGCTTTCGAGTGTTACGCTGTTAAGTAATAATGCATTTTAACTTCCACGCGGACGATGACACTTGCTCAAAAAATAATGCATAGAAAAACAATGTATATAATTGCGCGCTTACCGTCGTCTAAACATTTCAATAAAAGTTCCTCGTTAGGATGCGACAAACATTCAGAGTTGAAGTCATTCCATGACGAAGACCATTCATTCGTGAATGTTTTTAAACAAAGTTTTCGGCACGCTGGCAAAGTGGCCTTGTCGCAACAATGGAGTTTTACGCTATCCATGCCGAGTTTCTCTATTTGCGACATCGGTGCTGTTGCTGACGTGTCTCTTTGTTCCGCCCCTTCGCTTTGTAAGAAACATTGCCAAAACTGGTCCTGAAATGGAATTATCGATCAAAATATCTGACACCTTAAGTACTACTTAGTACTCTAAATATTATTTTAACGATCAATCTGATTTTACAGTTAGTGACATGTGAATGACGCTAATATTACATTTAATCTCGAGAAAATTAGTTATGCACCGTCCATTAAAGTAGATAAATAGGTGGTATAACTACTACCTACATGTTTTATCAAATTATATTCTGTAGACTACACCACATAATACAAGCGCATGTTATCGTGAAACACATACGGCGGTAGATAGTAAGTTACTTTTAAGAATATCATTAAGATTGAATATTAAGATAAAGGATAAGGTAATAATGTATTCACATTTTATCAAATTTGAATTATTCATAAATTATGTACTCTTCTTCGTATTTTATTAAATCCAAAAAAACTTATTATTTACTATTTACTCAAAAATAAAAATAAGTAGGTTTTTCTTAGCTGTAAGAGTGCATGTTAAGTTAAAATATATTTATATGACTTCACAATGTAATCATAAAGTACAATTTGAACATAAATGAATACTTTATCGACAGGTATTTATTTTAAACAAAAGATTACTCCACGCCTAATTTAATTAGGTTATTGGGATAGAAGTATATTTAGCTTACGACACGTTCATATCATTAGCTTAATTTTTAAAATCGTCAAACAACACGAACTACATCACAGATAAAACTACTATATTGCTTCGTCTTTGATAACATTTTTAAAATTCTATTGGTATTACGAAATTCAATTTTTTCACCTCATTGTTTCAGCTATATTATTGAAGATATAATTAATTGAGTTAACTTTCATCAACGCACTCAATGTCGATATTATTAGTTATACATACTAAGCTAAAAAAAATTAAATATTAAAGATCGATTGTTGAAATCGAATCGCAATTCGTTATTTTCTCACTGTAACATGCAAATCAAACTAATTTATTTAGAGAGAATGACACTTTAATTAAAAATTAATTGTTTGCCAATATTTTATTTATAAAAATTGAATAAATAAATGTAGATATGAAATTAAACACTATAAGTAATTTTTGCTTATAGTCGATATGTAACAATAACGTGTATAAAAAAAATATCTTGGCGGTGACCGCTGGAAAAAAATAAATCTCTATTATAATGACGAGTTTACTATGAAAAAAAAAAAAAATAGTTTTTTCGATAATAAGTCAAAAACTGATGGTTCATGAAAGAACTTACATAAAGCGACGGTGATCCACATCCTCTGCTCTCCAAGTTGTCCATAGCTTCCATGTCAGAGTCGAACTCTTTCCGTAGACTGTCCTGACAGGCTTCTTTGCATTGTGCATCAGAGGCCAACTTACAACAGTGCAAGTCTAATAAAAGAGAAAGGTGGAAAAGTTACAAACCATTATCACAGTATAAATATGGTCATAGTTCGTGGTATGACATTGGGAATTTTAAAACGAAGCCCGTAGTAGTTTTTACTTGTGCACCGTAGATTTTGAACTTTAAGAGTATATGAGTATACTGATGCAGCGATTCCTAAATTTTTAGGAACATAGAACTCTTTGGAAATAGTTAATGCGAAGTGGAACCCTTAAGCCTCTAATTCCAACTTTAATTCAATTATTTATTGAAAAATTAATTCTCGAAAAAACATTTTAAAGATACTGGTAGTTGATTACTGTTTATTGCAATTACTACCCTTGATATTCACGTACATCTTGCGGAACCCCTAAGATTGTCCCACAGAACCTTTAGGTTCCACGGAACACACTTTGGGAATCGCTGTACTAATGCATCCCGTGTTTCGAACTCTTTACAAGGATGAAAAGTGATGCGTGGAAATACCTACTGAACTACTGAATAGTACCAGCAATCTAATAGGGCTGTTGTGTCGGGAAAGTATCGACTTTTGAGCGTTTAATTTTTACTTCAACTCAAAAGCCCGGGACGGACGGAACAACGACCTCGCAAAACCGTTTCATATATCTAGAACCTAACCAAACTACTCAGGGACACACGGTGGGAAATGGTGCGAGACTGACTGTACGTCAAATACGCTTACATTTGTGTCCGTCCGACGGTCGCGTGGAAGTCGTGTTGCGCGAACAAAGGTGCGTAGCAGCAGCACCGGTCGCTGCAGAACGTGTACCGCGCCGATCCCGTTCAGCCGAACACAGGTCGAAGATTTCTTGATTGGCTACGTGTTGATTAATGGACGGTGTGTTGGCTAGGAATTTCTCGCATGCAATCTGACATTGCACCTCATCCGTTTTACCGCCGCAACACGTATCTTTGACCTATAAAAACCAAAAAAAAAGATGAGTTATTTACAACGTTAAGTGGTTATTTATATATAATATAAGCTTATGTGTGTGTGTCGTACGAGGACGATCGTTTGACAAATGTCCACGGATACGCCCATTTACTCGTACATACTTGTACGTGTACAAATATACAAATCTTATTGTATTCTAATAATATCTAATGTCTTGTTCGAGTCCTTTGCATATTTCGAAATTTAGACACGTGAAAATCCTACGTCGATTCCAGGTTGGCACTATAGGATGGTTCTAAAGTCATGCACCATTTAAAAATGGATGAGCCCTAAAACAACTCGGAAATCAACCAGTTACAGTACTCCGAGGATATCGCCACAATTATAAGGTATTAATATTTCCATATTGAATACATACACCAAGTACAGTGTAGTACAGTATAACTCTAAAAACCGGAATCTTAGAAATAAGTGAATCATTGTCTGTTTATTTTTAACATTTTATACGCCTCCGATAGCTGTGCAGTTATACTCATAAACAAAGTAATACTATTTATTTATTATACACAAACGGTTATTTTATTGTGATTACTTTATAACATAATATATTCTCAATGAGTAATATTTTAAATCAACATCTAATTTAACATATGGTACCAATGCATATTGTAAATATTACTAAGGATTCGTCCGTTTGGAGTGATAAAATAAAATAAATATAAATATGCGTGTAGTTCACGCAGGGTTACTATTTTCGAAACGTTCTGAGGCACGCGTCAACTGTTTAAAGTTAAAAGCTTATACCACATCGTTCTACTATACGTGCGTTGTTTTAATGGCTTACTATTCGACAATGAACATAGCTATTATTATACGGCAGTCACGCTGTCATCTTTGTCTTAGAAATAGTAAGTTAGTACGATGTGCGTTGTGTCAACTGTACGTCGTATTAATATATTATAACGATTGTTTTTTTTATTTTCACGTCCAATTACGATAATTTCGTTATTAATCCATTAGACTCAACGTAAAGACTATAAAACGTATAAAAATACCGACGGGATTACAGATACGTAAAAATAAATAAATATTATAAATTCCTAATTCATATTATTTTGGTCTCTTAAAACCTATGCTCGCGTCACATGGTTACTCTGAATTAATTGCACGACTTTACCGCGTAAGCAATCCACTATAATATTATTCCAGTGATTACAACAAGACGCATTTGATTTTTTTTTAAAATGTACAAATAATAATTAGTAAAATACAAACTCACTCGACTTTAACGTTTCGACGGTCATCGTATCAACCGCCAACACGCACAATCTCTATTCTATCTATCAGCTATTTACATGATATCGATCTAAAAATATTATTGTAATTCATGCAAAGGCAGTCCAATAATTATTAACACAGATGGACAAGGTCTTCAACATGTTAAATAAGAAATTGAAAAGAAATATTATTAGTCCGTAATAAATCGATTTATCCACTCTGTATAAAAATGTATCTTTAACGACGTAATGAACCATGTGTGATAATTCAGATGCGCTTGGGGCCGCGCTGCGTACTAAAATAAAAATCCCGTTAAAATGCTGAGGTTATTTTGACACAAATATGACAATATAATATATTTACAACCGTAATTCACTCGAATGTCATAGTGTTATCCTTACAAACATGATTAAATTGTACTTTCAAACTATTTATTTATTTATTTTTAACTATTCAATGATTTTTTAGAATATGTTTTTCTGCAAAAGAAACAAGTAGTATACGAATGAAAATTTCCAAAGCCATAATTATTCCTCTAAAAACCTAATGCAAAATGAATAAAAATATTTTAAATTTTTTACACGGTGTATAGTGTAGTATATGTATATAATATTTTAAAAAAATCCAAAAAATTATGATAAAAAATTATGAAAAATTAATGGATTTAAGGTAAAATTTTAATAAAATTGAATATTTCGACGTCTATCATAACCAATTAAATAAATAATATTTAAATATTGAAATTGTTACAAACGATACGATCACCTAGTAGTAAAAAAAAATATATACATTTACATTTTAGAATACTATTAAAAATCTGAAAAAATTATATGATAAATTAATGATTATTTTATTTGTTCCAAGAAAACTTTTATAGCATATTTTACGTTTTTTTTTTTTTTTGAAGGCTGACAAATTTTTTTTAAAACATAATAGTGCAACATTATGTCTACTTTTATCGCATAAAAACGTTGTTTGCAAACATAAGATCACATTTGCAGAATAAATACCATTTTTGTTCAAAGTTTAAAAATTGATACTATATTCTCGTCCAAGTACCTACACGGCTCTACGATATAAAATAAGGGACACTTATTTATGTTTCCATAATACATTCCGGGGAATACGATACCGTCGGACGACACGATTTCATTGCCGAACGGATATGTTTATGGTGGATAAAAAAACTCGAGCAGCACATAAATTGTACACGGCTGACGGGCAGACACTGATATAATATTTTTTATTTTCCAGGCTTGGTGAGCTGGTCGCAAAACGTGATCGCTGCGTCGTGGCAGGATAAATATCACTTTCGGATACATATGATTTTTTCATCCGATTTACCCGTAACGTTTTAATTGCAAAAACACAACATAAATTCGGGTGACTTTTAAGACATACTACACGCAGCTGCATGCGTGATTTGTGTTAGTCAAATATTTTATCAGTATTTGATCCATACAATATTGCAATAAATATGTCAAACCTACGAGTATATACTCGTGATATCACGGATCTCGCAGGCAGAGGCGTATTTAAGGGGTGGGTCCATGGGACCTGTGCCCCCCCCATTCACCGTATTTTATACTTTATTTATTTTTGTAGATCTTCTTATTTTTCACGCACGGTCACACGGTGGAATATTGGAATATTTATATATCATGATAATTTGATACCATCGATTAAAGGGATTAGCATTGCTTTAATATACACCGTGAAATAATTATAAAACCTGAAGAAGTAGTTGAAGCATATGCTAATAAACACTCCAGACGTCTTCAGTTATTATAATTACAAAAATTATATTTAAAAATATGTTTTATTATAAATTTATGTAATAAAATGTTATGTTTCTATCAAACACTTGTATTTTGATTGTTTGGTTATGAATAACAACAGTTTTTTGAGATGGAAAAGTTATAACTATGTATACTTTGAACTTTTTGTTCGTGCCCCCCTCTCTCTCATAAGGAATTTCTAAATACGTCGTTGTTCGCAGGTAATAATCAATATCTAGAGGAGAAAAAATGTACAACACGAAATAAATCCTAAATTAAAATGGTCAGAGTTTTAAATAATCGATTAAATAACGGAAGAACATAGATAATTAATTTTTTCGTGGTATTTAGTTGACTACTATAATAGAACTCGAATTATGATCGAGTGCCAACTTCTTAAAATCGTTTGAACTATGCAATACTTTCGTCCTATAATGTAATTTTTTTTTCAAACTACTCTAACCACCTAAATTCCAAGTGTCATAATGTATTTTTAAGCAGAATTTGTTAATGTTATTTAAAGTTAATGATAATCGAGTCAAAAATCCTAGGTTTTATTATCGATTAATTAAAAAAGTCAGTTGGTTCATCAGAAATAGAAAACGTGAAAAAGTGGTTGATTATTACGCGAATATTTTATTAGTATTGTAACTTTGTTACTTTGTAAGTAAAATATTTCAGCGTTTCTAATGTCTCGAAATGTTATACTTTTTTAGCTCTTTACAGGTTCTGTTGAGTTAACCAGAACTATATAGGATTAAAAATATTGGTGCATATATGTTATTGTTCCGGATAAAATAGTCAAATTTTTGATGATAAGATAGTTTACGTTATTAGTTCAACGATAATAATATTATTTTTAAACGAAACACATCCACCGACAATCGGGAACAAAGCAACGAATTTGAGGGTTTCAGATTCCTCGATATTCTTAGCACAATATGTCAAGTACACATTCGTTTCCGGGACACGATACGTTTAAAACGTCAGCTATCAAATAAATAAATCAAATTTTCAAGTTCTTGTTTACAAAATATGGCGACCCAAACCATGCTGCATAATGGCGCGGCGATTTATCAATACATCAATATAAGTAATAATTTCAAACAACAAAATTGCAGTCAAATTGAAAAAATTCCAACAATAACAGAAAGTTTCATTAAAAATATTTTTAGATTTTAATTCATACTGGCGTTAAACGATTTTAAAACTTACATAGCAACATTGGGGAGAAAAAAGTTACAAGTACACCAACTTCCAGTCCCTACGTAGAATGTACGAAACGGTGCTTACCTGTTTGTGTTGGAGACAGGAGAAAAACTCTGACTCATTCTGGCAGTCCCTGTGAATCGACCGGGATCCGGAGTTCTTATCCAAGCAGGACAACTGGCAGCCGTCTGACTTGGCCACGTCACAACACTTCCTAGCCGCGTCCAGCCACTTTATCTCCGTATCTGTAAACATAAGATCGTAAATTTATAGGTATTATGTAGTGAATTAAAATAGGTATGTTTATAGTATATTTAATTATCGTCACATAGTAAAAACTGGTATAAGATAAAAACACGTTAAACAACGTTTAATGTTTTTAAAAAACTATGATTTACTGGAGTATTACTACTTTACGTACTTTTCCCATGTATATTAAGTATATTTGTATGTCGCATACATAGACGGTTAGAAATAGTTTTAATTGCTTCCGATCTATTGGTGACTTGTTTACGCAATTCTTCTCGCATACCTCGAAAAATCATGGTAATGATTTAATGGGAAGAGGAATAACAATTAAAATAAATCCTCGGAAGATAATTGATTTTTATTATACTTCCTTACCCCGTAAACAGGACACCACGTTAGATAAGATCCCCAAGGAGTATTAATAAGCTCCTAATGGTTATAGAGTAAACTCCCCTATTTTAACACCTCGTAAACTCTCCCGATGGTTAACGTTTTAAGGTTAGGTTAGTTAGTTCTTCAGCCTTACCTGAAGTGTAGATATTAACTCTTCCCTTTTCGCAACAACATCATTTGTACCTACATTATAATAGTCGAGTTATTGCAATAGTTGAGTACTAATAAAGTAATATCACAAAAAAAAAAAAAAAAAAAGGTATCTAATAATAATGGATTGTAGACACAAGCAAAAAAATAGATATTTTACGTTTTTAACATTTTTGATTTCATATAGTTTATTGTAATAAATTAAAATACAAATTCAAGTTAACTAGTGATTTAATTTATTTTATTAATATCTAGCCAATTATAATGTAATAGTGAAGTTATTGTAGATACGGAACAGTTTACATAATATAATCTTCTGATAGTGCTGAAGTAGACCCGTGAAAGTTCATATATACCCTCCAGATATAGTTCTAAAAGAAGCCCTGGGGAATTTATCATCGGCAGAGTTAACGCATCATTAATATCGAGAAACCTTACTATCCCCCCCTCCTAAGTATCCGGTCACCGCGATGTCCATTACCATCATCGTCGCCGCGTTTAATTAACGAAACTCAGCCGCGTGCGGTTAAAAAAAAATCGCACACGACCGTCGGCTTAATTAAACATAGATATATACACAAGTACACGCAATGATAACGACGTTTAAGGGTGTACAGCATACATAATAATATCTACTACGGTATTGTCCATGCTCACACTCATTATATTTGCTACGTTCGACTTACCGTGAGCCGAAGACGACATACACCACTCGACATTCCGGACATGTGAACAGAAAAGATAAAAATTTAAAATATGCTCGTACATTACGTGTTAAATTTCAAGCATCAACAGCTAGCACCCGTGGTGGCCGACCAAAAGAATAATACCGATCAATAAAATGTCTACCCATGGGCCCGTTGTCCGGTAAATTTAATATTAACAATCACTATGGTACTGGGTATTGTGCGTGTTTTTAAATCGTGCCATGTTCAAGGAAAAACGAAACAGGCTTGAGGGGTAGCATACAGTTATTGCAATCGAGGTCGAACAACAGCGTAGAGGATAAGAATAATATATAGGTATGCGCCGACAGTGTCCTTTTAGTTATAAAACGATAATATTATTATAAATGTTTAAACGATTCGAAAAGTGGCGAACCGTGATAGGTATCTTCAGGTAGGAGCATGTACATATTTGTGTGTATATGTGTGTATGTGTGTGTTAGAGAAAGAGAGAGTGAGAGGGAGAGTGCGTGGTGGTATGTACATTATCCCGGTAGTACCTTAGGTAGGGTTACGACGAAAATAAATAACAGATGTCCGAACGGAGGCAGATTCATCGGTAATCCTGCGTAGCGACTATTTTCGGGAATTTTTTTAAGGGTCTACAGGGAAAGGACACAATGGTTTAACCGAAATCAAAATAAAAGATCAGGTAACCTACGTCAAAATATATTACCAAATCATTTAATATAATATCCCTCTTTGTTTTATTTTTACAGTTTTTTAATTGAACACAATACGACTGATATTATTAAAATCCTACGTGAGCGTTGGTGGTAAGTTATACTGTTTCAATACCATTATATCTTACACACCAACAACAATAAAATGTTAAAATAAAATAAAATGGATATGTCCGTATATGTATCTGATTATTTCCCATTAATATTTATTAATATTTTATGAAAACATAACAAATAACGAATAACACGACCGATTTAATTTTACTAGTCGAATTTCAAAATAATATATGTTCGTATAAAATGTTGATTAATGATTCACATAATATCGTATAATATTAAACAGTATAAAGTTGGATATAATTTATGATACATATATTCATTTATTTATTATCATTTATGGTTTATACGCTGCCCGTAGATGATTATAAAATTATTTCATGGAAGTGTTTTTTCATATACTTGTATACTCGGTACTAAACCCATGCTGCGTCTAAATTTACCATACGTTCACGTATTGTTCGTTTAAAAACCATTTTCTTATCATAACAGTATAACATACACATAGTATATCTGTAATGAACGTAACGTTTCGTATGTTTATTCGTATAATTTCCGTTACGCATAAAAATCTAAACAAAATTCACACGATGGTTAGTACTATTTTTCATTATTCATTTAACCAACACACGTTGCATCACAGCTATCACTGTTTTAATAGATGTTAAAATATTTCCAGACGACATATATTTTTATTACACGCAGACATGATTCACGTGACGTGGGTTTTTATTTTATTTTTTTTTTGTTACTTTTTAACGGACAAACGAGAATTAATATCGTTATAAAATAGATATCAAACGACCGAATGTAAATATTATTACCTACGTATCGGTATAATGTGTTGTATGTTTTGGAAACACAGCGGTGGCGTCAAAGATGTTTTTTCCGCAGTCATACATGAACAACGATGTAAAGTATTACATTATACATTTTCTTGTGGCACTTGGTTACGGGGTACAGTAGTGGTGGTGGTGGTCGTGTATCTCGTTAATAAATCAAACATATTTATCGCCGTTGACCCGAAGAGGAATTTTTATTTTATTTTGCAGACCGAAAGGCCTACAGAGATTATGATCACGGATACGAAACTTTTTGAGGTAGATTAATGAATTACGATTTCGACATGATGAAGGTGCACCGCGGTGATTCCGTCGCGTTACCCCCCCCCCCCCATATACATACATACATACATACATATATATATATATATATATATATATATATCAAACTTACTATGACGTTGCGTCTGGCAGGCCTAACCCCAAACGCGCCCCGCAGAGAATTGTTTTACGGCCACAGTACACCTACTTGATTTTATTATACATACATCCCGCAACGATTATGTGTTGTACCTGACTGCGGTTTATATGTATCATAGCGTCTCCAGAACACTCGAGAAGTATCGTTTTCAACGGAACTATGCCGAAAATACCAAATGTAGGGGACAAAATACGTTAGTACTACGACGCATTTCGTGGGTAGTGAATAAAGTAAACAACGACGAGTACTATATGACATTTGGATATGTATGATAATAAATTTCTTGTTCGTTGAAGTCACGAAAACCATTATAATGGTAAGTATACTTACGTTAACCAAGAATCTACTCGTGCCGAATGCAGAAAATTCTAAATTCTCGAAAAACTTCCATAAAACGCATTTAAATCAATTCCCAAATATGTAGTATAGATTCGTATTTAACTGTAGAGTACGCAACGCGGCTATTTTTACTATTTATTTCGAATTTACCATGTACGGCAGAAAAATGTGAACGTTTTAGACCCTGCGATATAGCTATGCACATGGGCTACGGTATTGTAATGCACTCGTGTCGAACTATGTATAGTGCATGCCGATGAACAACGTTTCGGATTACTTTACATAAAAAAATACAAACGTGTGGTATTATGGGTTTGTACGCGGATTGTAATCGATACGTCGAGAGGTATTGTACCACAACGGTGTATTATACGAACATATTACGTGCGCGCATCAGGCCGGTTTAAATGCCGCGATGGTTGGTGCTGGCGAGTGTAGACGAATACGAGTGACGGACAGGGCATTGGAGTAGCAACAACTGCAGCAGGATTTGTCGGCGGCTTTGCGGCGAACGCGGAACAAAAGCGACGTACGAGTTCGTAGAAATAACAACGCGGATTTGAATATATGATCATAACGTATCGAACATCAGTTTTCGAATGGGGATCGGAGAGCGTAAAACGAAATGAAGTTAAGACACGGACAATGCGAATGTACTCGAACAAGACTGCGGATTCGTCGATAAGACATTGACGATATTACGCACAACGTTTGGCGTTTGACAGATGATCGGTGACGGTGTGTGGTGGAGACGCTAGTCGTGAGAACCTGCAGACGGACTCCCGTGGTTTTTAATTTTATGATAGTTACAACGCGCCGTTTCTCGTGTTGATATTACACAAATACACATACACACACATAACACATAATATATAACACACACAAGAACTCGTGCGCACCAGACAGCATGAGCATAAAATATACACAAGATATAATAAATACACACTAACACACACACAAACATATATTTATATTTATATATATATATATATAAAATACGCGTGTATTTACGATAGGTAGCCTAGTGTTGTTTTAAATCACGACACAGGTGACAAGGATAAGTGGTCATCAAGATTGCGGGCGCCCGGTGCGTGTGTGTGGCAGAAGTCGATTTATCACTTACCGCAGTCGGTCGATGGAGGTTTAAGAAAAAAATAAAAATTATTTACCTTCTTATTTCTCCGTGGCCGGGAGATGTACACGCGTCGTTAATTATATTCACTTTATATATTCGTGTGTGCGTGTGTGTACCTACATATGCACTCGCTCGCCTAGACGTCGTGGTGTGCATTATTATATGCGTGAGAGACGCAAAGGGGGAAAAAAAGACACATTTTGGAAAACGAGTCAGATCCCTGGAGATAACCCCGGTGTCAGATTAAAAGGACCATGTGTACGGTAAAGTCGGTTCGGATTACCCACATGTGTTGTGTGTGTGTGTGTGTGTGTGTGTGTGTGTGTATATGTGTGTATATGTGTGTTGTTATTTCTGTGTGCCTGAAAAACGATTAATCGGAAACTACTCCAATATTAAGTATAATTATAATTATTATTATGAACAATAGAATAGATGTAAACACGGATAGTTATCACGTGATCCAGGTTCTACATGTCTCGTAAATTCAGAAGCAAAATGTTATTATTAAATTATTATATTATTATATATATATATGTTATTTTTATTTTTATTTGTAATAACCTGTTTATTTTTTATTTTAAATATATCTTCTATAAGTCACTTGATTTGTTTTGAGAAAATAAAATTTTTATTTTTTTCTCTTTAAATACGACAACTGGTTTAAATATACATAATCGCTTTTCCACCGACCGCCACTCATCGAAGAATCAGATGAAAAAAAATGTACACGAAATCGCAGTTTTCACTTTATTATGGTTTATTATACGGATACTTTATATACACAAGTACATTTAAATTTTTTTGTTTTCATATTCAGTCCAAACGGATGATAATATGTTATTGTTAAATTCTTCAATACTGAAACTCACGTTTCGGTTTCTTGAATTTAAAAACTTTCTAAATGATTGTTAGAAATAAAAATGTTAAAGTATACAAACCACAATATATACATTTAATGAATAAAAAGGTTAGGTTTTAAACAATATAAATTGTACTCAGTTAATTATAACAAATTTACAATTATCCGTGGTCGTATTTTATTCATAAAATTCTAATTTTAAATCAGTTACTTCATATAATTTACGATGACACTACGTTTACTTTAATTCATGATATTGAATAAATTAGTAGATACTTACATTTTTTGAGGAACAATGTCTGTAAAAATCAGTTATCCGTCCAGCTATTTTATCTTTTGGGTTTTCTTGTAATACAGCCAACTAGAAAATAAATTAAAAATTATATTTATATGATATTTTTTTACAGAGACTAGTTATATCTGAATTATTCGAAAGTATTTGAAACCTTAATATGATGGCTATACATAAGATTACCATATGCTGTGTATAATAATTTATCAACTTTTTATGATAGATAAGTATCAACAATAAAAAAAAAATAAAAATTAATAAGTGACAGTGATTATACATTATAATCCTGCTTTATAACTAACAGTTATGTTCGAATACATTCAAGGTATACGAGATCAAGAATTACTATTTTATATAGATGTCTAAGACAAAATATTTTATAATAAAATATCTTTTAATGTATATTAATTTGTTAATCAAAACAAATAGTTCTATAGTATGAAAGTTATAAGAATCTTAACACAAAATATTCAAGTTAATGTGTTTATTTTATAGTATTATTGTAATGTTAACGCTGTATTAAATATATTATACTTAAACTGAATAAATGTGTAGTTTCTTAGCTCCTTGAAATTATGATAATTCATAAAATATAAGCTCATTATACAAAACATATTTTATCAAAAAAATGTATAAAATAAAAAATAAACAGTTCATCAACATCTTTAAGCATTTCTTTGATAGTTTTACGGCGGTTTATACAATATTTTTCACAGGGGACCGCAGCATGGGTTTGTTTTTTGATATAGTGCTGTAGGGAATACGAGATCTGACGTTATTATTAATGGATAACTGCAGTGGTCTAATCTTGAAACAGTAAAATATTACTAAATTAATGTCATCAAAATTATGTGTGTCACATCTGGATACAATATAGTCGTATATAATATAAATACTCGTATTACGATATGATATTATATGTGAACGACGATTTATGAGAAAAAAAAACGTAAACATTTCAAGGATATTATACAACATAATTTTTTGGGAGAACGAACATTGATTTTATTACATTATAATTTTGAACAATGCATTAGACATAATTATTTGTTAAAGGATTTTGAAATAACGTTTATTCTCGTAACGGAAATAATTTCGATTTCACTAACTGATGTTTGATCGTAGAGCGTTACATACATTTAAATCGCCTTATTATGCGAATATTTTCGACGGTCTCATGTTTTAATTAGATGTAATCTTTTGTTTCATCTTTCTGTTTTTGATGGGATTTGACTGTACACATACCACAAATAGTGGTATGTGAAGAACGTGTGCGTTCTCGAATACATTATTCTAAAATGTCTGACTACGATCCTTGAAAATATTTTACCAGTTAATGTTCGAATATGCTGCAAACGTATTCGGTATAATTAACTGGTAAAGATACGAAAACTCATGATTGCGAAAGGTTGATTATGATGCGCACCATAGATGACCAAACCAACCGAGTATATCGCTGTAACCCGTCATAGCACTTTGGTATATTTTAGCACAAACATAATAATATATTCAACTGTAGTAATTGATTACAAAGTGTTTTAAAAAATATACAGACATGACCATATTGCAACAAAAACAGAACGATGATAATATTTTTCATATCAGGATGTTCTGGGTTTGAAAACCAGAGCAGAACGGACAGTTTACTAAAATACTATTATAATCCGTCGTAATAACTGCATTCGTATTGTATAATATTTTATCACTGGGTTAGGCGCATGACTAGTAATATAATACAATTTTAACATAATATTTTTACAATTATTACGTTGTATTGAGTTCGATAATTGGTTTTCTCTGTACACATCTGTTAAGTTCCGATTACGTGTTAGCGTTTAAATCAAGCCGGAACTAAGTACACAGGAAGTTATTATGATAAAAGGGATAGAAAGAGAGATAAAATATATGTATAGTCGATTCGACGAGCTAGTACGACTGCGAAACATATGTTATAATGTATATTTATCGGAAAATTAAGGGTCAGATAAGAAAGTTGCAACGAATTTTTATTTCTGTGCAGCCCTACTCTGTCGTCGGACCAACCATAGGTACGCATATCGAGTAATAATATCCTATCAATACACCCCTTGAACTAATATCATACTCAATCACCAGTCATAAGTAAACACGCATCACACGATCGAATGCAGTATAAATGCACATCGGCTGCAACCGCTCAGCGTAGCGACACATGCATAATTCAACGGACACTGGTCTTGACAATTTAGGGGAGTATATTTGTGCCGTGTCGTGCAGTATACCTTCGGCGTACTTATAATACATATTATATTATTTTTCATACGTAGTAGTAGTGCTTTGGATAATAATAACAACAAAAACGGATGACAAATGCGTTCGAATGCTAATAGCGTTGCGGGATAGGGAGAAAGAAAAAGACAGCCAGTCGGTTAAAATAGTAAAATATTAAAATAATAATAATAATACGAGTACAATACGAGAACTTTTTTCCCTCTTGATTACGAATTCGGAGGACAATATCGGATTGTGTGTACGTGCGCGTGTCCGGTAAACGAGGAATTCGGTTCGTTACCCATGCAAGTCCCGTCGCACCGACGCAAGTGCTGTGCCTTTCTAATTTTTTTTGTTTTTTTTTTCTCGAATCGTCATACGCATAAACTCACACCGTCGCCGCCGCCACCGGTATCCGTTTTAAATCATGTATTATCTTTCGCTTCCCGTGTCCAAACGGCAACTACTTATAATATTGTAAGTATTATTAGAAGTTAGATCTATTTCAATATCACATTATTACGCAGAAGACCGCGGAGTGGTAAAAAAAACTGAAAAAATAAATCTAAAACAGATAATATACATAAATTAATTTACGAGACCATATGTGCCAAATCGATAACGAGTGCTTAATATTTCGTAGGCATTCAGACAAATATACTTTGTTATCATTACAATTATTATTTTTATTATTATCATCATCATCATTATTAATAGTAATAGTAGTAGCTTGGTAAAATATGACTGGGTAGTAAATAGTCTATTAGTCGTTAAAATGTTTGATCAATGAAATTAACTCTTGTTAGAGACGATGACGACAACCACAACAATTATAAACTTAACTCCAATTAAAAAGTCATAAATCGTATTTTTAGTAAAAATAAAAAAAGTCAAGTACCCGGTTGGTGTTTATTTATATTATTTTATGGTTTTGAAATGGATGCATCGTAAATTATTAAAACCCACCACGAAAATAACATAGTGTAACTATGTTCTAATGCGGTTAGGTTAGATTAAATAACATAATCGTCAATTATATCTAGTAACGGATTTTCAATTCATTTAGACGGTAACAACGTTAAAAACATTAAATTAGTTATAATTCTACCTATATCGTCATCACTGTAATAAACCTAAATAAAATTAGGTGTTTTGAAGTTCAAAGTAAAATCAAAGCTAAACTCATTCCGGAAATTAATTAATTGGCATGTGTATACATGACGTTTGCCAAAGTATCCAAGATTCTGACTTGTTTTTGGCCATATGATTTCAAGACACCAATGTAAATTATTTTGATACACTAATAGTAATTTTTAAAAATTAATAGTTTCTACACAGCAACAAAATTAGATTGTAATTTAATAAGCATTACAAATATGGTCTACAGTAATTTGTTCAAATGATATTATTTCGGATGCATATATTAGATTGCGAATTATATTAACTCATAGCAAAATAATTAAACGTCTCGCATTCAAGATTTAAGTCATCACCATTGCCTTAACAATTCATTGTACTAATTTAAACGTTATTCATGATGGCACGTAATTTGTAATCATTAGTTTTAACAACAGTGAATTGATTTTCATTACAATTTGCAATTTCATTAAAACAATATTGGCAAAACACTACAGGCATTTTTAATCACAAAAGGTTTTAACTAGTATTAGATCTTAATTTTAAGAATACTAAGATTATCATATTAAATGATATCCCCCACCGAAAGATGATTTTACCTCAATTTTCTCTGATCAATTTCTACCCTTAATATTATGTAAAGTGACTGCAATTAAGAACTTTATTTTCATTTTTCAACGCAAAAGCGCGCCATATTTCCTGGATATTATTGAGCATTTTATATTTTTTTAAAGAAACAGTTTTGTGTGCATTAATATTTCTACTCTAAAATATTACTATATCAATTTTTCACCCGGTCAATCGGTCAGATTGTATACAAAGCCGTACGGAATCTGAAGTTATCGTTCATCATCGCCGTTCACGTTTTTATAATGAGTATAGCTGAACTCCCATCTGAATCATAACGTTTTGTAATGCGTCCAAAGTGTTAATTTTCTTCGATTAGTTTTTTTTTTTTTTTTTTGGCATACTAGTATGATAATTTAACAAGAGTAACACATAGTATGCACGCACACGTCATTTGTTTTCTTTTATATTAATTGTCTGCGATTGTGTGTGTCGTCGTACGTATGCGTACTGTATCTATATAAATAGTTATATCATAGAAAATAGTGTCGGTTGTGAACAGGAATTTCCTCCTCCCCGCGATCTGTGACTGAAGCACGTTCTTGGGCTACCGATCCAACCCCTGCGCATTACATACGAATCACGTGTGCTGCGTGCACCGCAACACACGCCTATCATCATAGTAACCGTTTGCTCGAAGACAATTATCATTATCAACACCTTCGACTGGGTAACAGAATAAGTTATGTGACAGTCTTTGAAAATAAAAATAACATCCGTTGGACGAACAATGCTGTCGGATGTTATACGCTAAGGCTACTGTTCCCCGGGTGCGTTAACTACGTTATTATTTGTTTAAATTTAAAACCGATGCGTTCGGGTTGTACGTTATAACCCACGCTATTTTCTCACAGTACTTCCGAGCTACCGAACACTAATTATTAATATAATTTCATAAAAAGAATTCCAAACGACGCGGTGGAATGAGAATTATTAACATACGAGTACAGAGTATTTTTTTTTTGCACTCATGAAAACTACTGCAGTGGTTATATTCAGGGTCCGTTCCGAGTAGAATAGGTGCCACCTACGTACTGAGTGAAAACGTCCTGCCC